TGGCACCCTTGAACCTACAGTTAAACTTTTGTGGCACACTTAAATTATATTCATTTAAAAAAAGTAAAAAAAAGAATATACTTAGTGCTTTGAATTTCTTTCTCAAATAATTTAATGATCTGTAAAAATTTTTGCAGCACACCTAAGATCCTCTCATAGCACACTAGTGAGCTATGGTACACTGGTCGAAAATCGCTGTTCCAGAGGAATGAATGTGGGCATAGTGGGTTACAGAGCTGCTCCTCAATGAGGAGGAAAAACTCAAGTTGACAACACGGCCAGAATGTTAAGATAAAAAGTAGATTCAGAAGTAGCAGGATTAGCTCGGCGCCTGTGGCTCAAGTGGCTAAGGCGCCAGCCATATACACCTAAGGTAGCGGGTTCCAATCCAGCCTGGGCCCGCCAAAACAACGAGGCTGCAACCAAAAAATAGCCGGGCATTGTGGCGGGTGCCTGTGGTCCCAGCTACTTGGGAGTCTGAGGCAGGAGACTCGCTTGAGCCCTGGAGTTGGAGGTTGCTGTGCACTGTGATGCTATAGCACTCTACCCAGGGGTAAAGCTTGAGGCTCTGTCTCAAATAAAAAAGAAGTAGCAGGATTGAAGAAAAAGAAAAAAAGTAGAGTTTAGAGTGCCTTGGGAGAAGTACAGGAAAAGCCATAGGAGATATCATTATTTATTTATTTATTTATTTATTTTTTCCCCCTGAGACAGAGCCTCAAGCTATCCCCCTGGGCAGAGTGCCATGGCTTCACAGCTCACAGCAACCTCCAACTCCTAGGCTCAAGCAAGTCTCCTGCCTCAGCCTCCCAAGTAGCTGGGACCACAGGTGCCCACCACAACGCCTGGCTATTTTTTGGTTGCAGCTGTCATTGTTGTTTGGTGGGTCTGGGCTGAATTCAAACCCGCTACCTTAGGTGTATGTGGCTGGCGCCTTAGCCACTTGAGCCACAGGCACCGAGCCTTTTTATTTTATTATTATTTTTTGAGAGGATCTTACTGTTGCCCTGGCTAGTGTTGGAGTTTCTTCATAGCTCACAGCAACCTCAAACTTTGGGGCTCAAGAGATCGATCCTCTTGCCTCAGCCTCTGGAGTAGCTGGGACTACAGGCATGTGCCACAGTATCTGGCTAGTTTTTCTAGTTTCTTTTTGTAGTAGAGCAGGGGATCTTGCTCTTGCTTAGGCTGGTCTCAAACTCCTGAGTTCAAGCAATCCATCCACCTTGGCCTCCCAAAGTGGTAGGACTACAGATGTGAGGCACCTTGTCTGGCCATGACAAATTTCAGAGGACAGAGGATTGACTTCTAATAAGAGCGCCCTATGATAGATTCCTGAGCTTCATAGAAACTTTTCTTCATCTTTACTTCTTCAAAGTTGTCACTGCCATTTGTAGAAATCTCTCACAGAGCAAAGTGGTAAATAAAACAAGTATTTTGTGGAGGCAGGACAGTCCTGGATTAAAATCTTTGCTTTCACTAGCCATGCATATGTGAATCTCAGCTTCCTCATCTGCAAATTGAGCACAATAATACTTCTTTTAGTTGTTGGAAAAGCAGCTATGCTGGGTGCAGTGGCTCACAACTGTAATACCAGCACTCTGGGAGGCTGAGGCGGGTGGATCGCCTGAGCTCACGAGTTTGAGACCAGCCTGAGCTAGAACTAGACCTCACCTCTAAAAATAGCTGGGCATTGTAGGGGCTGCCTGTAATCCCAGCTACTTACGAGGCTGAGGCAAGAGAATGGATTGAGCCCAAGAGTCTGAGGTTGCTGTGAGCTATCACATGCCATGGCACTCTACCGGGGGAAAGAGAGACAGACAGACAGACAGACACACATGCACGGCACTCTACCATGGGCGACAGACACACACACACACACACACACACACACACACACAAAGGAAGAAGCTGAGGCAAAATTAATGTAAGTGGAGAGTTTATTTGGGCCAAGCTTTAGGATTGCAACCTGGGAACACAGAGTCAAGTTGCCCCAAATATACACTCTGATTAGCAGGAATTGTAAGTTGATTTTTAAAGTCAAAAAAGGGAAACGGAGTGGATGATAACGTTATTTGTCAAGAATTCTCATTGGTTTACAGACATAACATTGATTAATGATTGGTTCTACATTGTTAAGCTATAGGGTGTGGGTTATAGAGTATTTGGTTGATTTATGGTTACCTGTCGCAGTAGCAAATAGTTTCAGTAGATGAATACAAAGCTCCAGGGGGGGAACAGAACATGACTGTTGCCTCATCTTACTGTCCTTTTGGGACCAATAATTTACAAGGACTCACATTTCTCAGACAAAAATTCTTTTCTCACTTCATAGGGCTGTTTTAAGGCTTAAGAGCCAGCCCGGGATTGTGCCTAGCACAGTGAAGGTTTTCCTCTTATGTCAGATGAGTGGTTCCATTTTCCCGTTTGGGATTCATGATGTGCCGTACCTGAGTGGCTCTGAAAGTTCCTTGGTCAGGGGCTATGGTCTACCTTTGGGAAAAGCAGAGCAATTAAGAACAGTGAAGCATTGCTCTAGGTAAGTTTTTTCTTGTAACTTTCCCCTTTGGTAAGTTGGGTAATTCTAACACTTATTGATGGCGGCATCATTCAAAATCATGGTAGTTGGAACAGGAACTCTGAGTTGAGAGAAAGGTCTGTCTCTTGCAAAGGAAAATAAAAATCTCAGGATCACCCCCCCAGCTCCTTACACAAAAGGGAAGGTCAAACTTGGTGGCTGAGTCACAATACAGCACCCCCTTCAAAATGAGTAGCTATTAATTAGCCAGATCCCCACTTGAAAGAAACCTCAGGCATCTACAACGACTGCCCCCACAGATCATTCATGCCCCCAAAGGTCATTTGTGAGGAAATTTTTTGCCTCCTATAAACAAGGACAAAGTTATCTTCCCAGGTTGTGGAGAACATGAATAAGATCACTCTTCCACCATCAGTCTACATAATTGATTCTTCTTTTACTCCTCCTTTTTTTTTTTTTTTTTTTTGAGACAGTCTCATTTTGTCACCTCAGAGTATAGTGGTGTCAGCCTCACAGCAACCTTAAACTCCTGGGTTCAAGTGATCTTCCTGCCTCTGTTTCCTGAATAATAACAGGTACGACAGGCATACCTGGCTAATTTTTCTTTTTCTTTTTTTTTTTTTTCAGACAGAGTCTCACTTGGTCACCCTTGGTAGAGTGCTGTGGCATCTTAGCTCACAGCAACCTCCAACTCTTAGGTTCAAGCAATCCTCTTGCCTCACCCTCCCAAGTAGCTGGGACTACAGGTGCATGCCACAATGCCTGGCTATTTTTATTTTTTAGACGGGGGGTCTTACTCTGGCTCAGGCTGGTCTCAAACCTGTGAGCTCAAGGAATCCACTAGCCTCAGCCTCCCAAGTGCTGGGATTACAGGCATGAGCCACTGTGCCCTGCCTAGTTTTTCTTTCTTTCTTTCTTTCTTTAAAGTAGAGATGGGATCTCTTTCTCAAGCTGGTCTCAAACTCCTGAGTTTAAGAGATCCTCTTACCTTGGCCTTCCAGAGTGCTGGAATTATAGGTATGTGCTTGGCTTTACTCTTTTTTTTTTTTTTTTGAGACTGTCTCACTTTCAGTAGAGTGCCGTAGCATCACAGCTCACAGCAACCTCCACCTCTTGGGCTTAGACGATTCTCTTGCCTTCAGCCTCCGGAGTAGCTGGGACTACAGGCACCTGACACGACCCCTCGGCTACAGTTTGGTCGGGGCAGGTTCAAACCTGTCACCCTGGGTATATTGGGCCAGCGCCCTACCCACTGAGCCACAGGCACTGCCCCTTTACTCTCTTTTTTTTAAGTCACTTCATCAAATGTAAATTTCCTTAGCCTCAGAAGGATTTGTCTCACTACCCATCCTCCCTCCCTCTTCCTCTTTCTGTACACACTCTCCCCATAAATACTGAGCTCCCAAATTCCACTTGGAAAAAAGTCACAGATGCCTTGTGTTTTTACCATGCTTATCCTCAAACTTTGGCTTAATAAACCTTTCTTGACTGAGATCTTTGCCTCAGTCAATTATTTGGGGTTGTCGGCCTCATCCCCAATCAGAGGATACACATCCATCACTGTCCAGTTTGGTAGTGTAGGTTTTGGAATCTCACCAGCCTGGATTTGAGTTCCCAAATCTATATACTATTAGCTACGTGACCTGGAAGGTAGATACTTCACCTCTTTGGCCTTGTAAAATAAGAATAATAATAGCATTTACTGTATGGGGTTGTTAGGCGTTTCAAATAAGTTAAAATTAGTAAAGCACTGAGAACGTGGTAGGCACTGCTTGTCAAATAATCAAATAAATACATACAATAAAGAATTTTATAAATGAGATAAATGAAGATAAATGAAGGCAAGTACATGGCAAATGTTTAATAAACATTAAATGAGATAAATGAAGACAAGTACATGGCCAATGTTTAAGAAACGTTAACTGTTTTAATGTCTGCAAACTGACTCTACGGGGAGGCTGAGGCGGGTAGATTCCCTGAGCCCACAGGTTTGAGACCAGTCTGCGCCAGAGTGAGACCCCCGTCTCAAATTGCCCGGGATGGTCCGGCAATTTGCAAGGTGATACCACCCAAGGAGAAAAACGTTCTGGGGCCCATTTGGGACCAGAGTTCAAACGTGTACTGTAGGTAAAACTTGCCTTATTAAGAATTGTCAGTTATCAAGTCGGCGCTTCGCTAGAAGGCTCGGTTTCTCGGTCTGAAAATAGGGGCCACTACTGAGACGTAGCTGGGTTCCTGGACCGAGGACCGAGTGTTCTGGACAGCGTCGTAAGACTACGTAGATAAAGCACTCGGGCCCAAGTGACGATAACGCCGGCAGAAGCAGCCTCCGATCCGCAGTTTGGGGTCCACGCCCCCGTCGTGCCACGTGACTCGCGCCCCGCGACTCACGCCCCGCACCACGTGATCAAGACCGCGGTTCCGCCCCGCTCCCGCGTAGTGCACCGCTTCCGGTAGGGGCGGAAAGCGGAAGTGTGGGAGGGCCTGTGGGGCGGGCTCTGGAAGGTCCGGGGGGTAGGATGGAACTGTGACCGAGTCTGGGCGGCTGCCGGCAGCGCCATGGAGACCGTGCAGCTGAGGAACCCGCCGCGCCGGTGAGGGGTCACTGGCTAAGAGGAGGGGCCTGGGGGCGACGGGAGGGAAAGGCGGGAACCGGCTGGAGGGAGACACCTGTGCACGAGCTCCTGTAGGGCGGGGAGCGGCTGGGCTAGGCGATCCAGCTGATGGGGCACCTGCTGAGTCGGGGGAGGGGGATGTCTGGCGGGTGGGGCTCGGGAGAGAGCCTTGCTGAGGGGAATAAACTTGGTGCTGGTTAGGGGAGCCCTCGTTGCTGGGGGACTGCTGAGGAACACAGGGACAAGTCAGGGAGAGTATCGGCTGAGGCCGGGGCTGCTCCGGGGAAGGCTGTCCAAGAAGGGTCTCACGGAGGTAGGAGGAGGGAATGCTGGATGAGAACCTGTTTAAGGCAGTGGCTCTAGAACTAGCACAGAAGAAGGTTGGGTGGACTTCTAAGGGTCCTAAGTCCCACTTGAAGGGTACAGTGGGGGAAGATCTGTTGAGCGGAAAAGCTCTTCGGAAAGGCTAAAGGCATTTGCGGAAAGGTTGCGGGTCTAGCAAGGGAGGGATTTGTGGAGGACAGCTTTTGGGAGGATGCTCTTGATGGTGGTCCCACTCCAGGATGATGATGGCATCTTTCATGACTGGTGTCCAGGCTGTCTTCCTAATTGTTTTCGGCCCTTCAAAGCCTGCCATTGATAGGTAGTTAAGGAAATGAAAGGTATTTTCAAGATGGGCAAACTGAGATCCACAAGAGTTTAGAGGTATATGTTTACTTCTTTGCTTCTGAGTCAACGGGCCTGGCCAGACTGAGCCCTTTTCAGGACTCTTGTTTTTTGAATGTCAGCTCCAGATCCCATTGGTAGGTGGAATTGTTTTATGTCAAGATCAGGGAGATGGCTGATCTTAGAAATTCTGAACTCACTGATTTCCACTGCAGAGAGCAGGGACTTGTGTCAGTCTGCCACATCTGGAGAAAAGCAGGGAGACGAGACTGAGGGAGTCATGCTTCTCTGAGGTGCAGGGTAGTTAACTTCTTTTGCACAGAGAATCTGACTTCCTGCAGTTGAATTAACACTGAAGTAGGAAGTCTTCAGCGTGTAGGAGTACAAGGCAACCAGAGGTGAAGGGAAGAGATTAACAGCCTGGGTAGCACTCTTGGGGGTCTTGGGAGTTGTTTGAACTTAGGGATGCACAAACAATGGAGAGGGCAAATAGCTGGTTGGGATGGGCTTAAGATTCACCCTAGTGTAGTGTGCTGAGACTGTAACTGTAATGATTGTTACACTCATGTAGCACTTACTGGGTGCTAGGCACTGTTGAATTTTCCATTCCCCTGTTGAACCATTTGAAATTGCTGATATTTGACCATTTTTGACCCATAAAAGAGTAATTCCATATGATTCAACCTACTATTGATTCATTTGATGCTCATAATAATCTTGTGAGGTGGGTATCCCTGTATCTGTATTTTACAAATGATAAAACAGGAACAGGGAGGCTAATGACATGCTGGCGGTCCTATAGCTGGTAAGAGGCAGAGCTGGGATTTTCATATCCAGGCAGGCAGTCTGGTCCAAAGTCCATGCTCTTCACTGTCTCACTCTGATGCCTCTCTGGAAGTACCCCTGTTTCACAGGTCTTTGTGTGTGTTAGCAAATCCTTGCTGTAGCGCCATAGTGACTTAATTATAAATGAACTCTGGTTATGTTTCTTTTTGAAATACATTAGTTTGCTCTTGTTGGTTTTTTTCTCTGAGGGCTTATTTTAATTGGAAAGAGGACTAGGAATCTGAGTTTTGTTTCTCTTTTTGCCTTGAGTAATTTCAGGCAAAAGAGTAAACCTTCTTGACATGTTCATTCTTGTACCTTTTGGATTTTAAAAAATGTATTAGAAGTGCAAGAAAAGAGCATTACAGGACTGAGTTCTTGAATAAATATTGCTCTCCTGCTCTTTGTAACCAGTAGGCTACTTAATTTGCAGCAGTTTAATTTTATTATCATTTGTATTATTTTGTTAGGACTGCTGTAACAAAATATGATGATTTAAGCAATAGAAATTTACTTTCACATAGTTTTGGAGGTTAGAGGTCTGAAATCAAGGTGTTGGCCTGATTGTTTCTTTTGAGGCTTTTCTCTTTGGTTTATAGGTCACTGTCTTCTTTCTGTGTCTTTGTGTTCTTCCCTCTGAATCTGTCTGTTACCTAATCTCTCCCCTCTTTTTTTTTTTGAGGCGGAGTCTCACTCTGTCCCTTTGGGGAGAGTGCTGTGGTGTCCTAGCTCACAGCTACCTCAAACTCTTGGGTTTGAGCAATCCTCTTGCCTTAGCCTCCCGAGTAGCTGGGACTACAGACATACACTACTACAGGTGTACACCACTACACCCTGTTAGCGTTTCTATTTTTGGTAGAGATGGGGTCTCGCTCTTGCTCAGGCTGGTCTTGAACTCATGAGCCACCTGTCTCGGCCTCCCAGAGTGCTAGGATTACAGGCTTGATCCACCCTGCCAGGCCCTAACCTCTCCTTACAAGGACATTAGTCACATTGGGTAAGGACTCACCTGTATGACCTTATTTTACCGTAATTACCTCTTTAAAGGTTCTGTCTCCGTATACATTTGTGGTCACATTCTGGAAGTTAAGACTTCAGCAGATGCATTGGAGTGAGGAAGGAATATAATTAATTTTATTACTTAAAAAATACACAGTTTATCTTATATATTTGTTGTAACCCCTATCGAATTCTGTAGGAACAGAGATAGTTATACAAAGATAAAATGAACTTTACAGAAGTTCTGAAATAAGTTTGAGAATTAGCCCATCCCATGAGTCAACACTTCATAAACACTTGTATTGGGAAAGATATAGATGTCTTACCAGAGAACCAGACTGCATGAGTTTCCAACAATCCCAGTGCAGGAAGTGCTCTTTGTGTTTTTGAGTTTGGCACTTGTGTGTGACTAAGTGAATGACAATAGATTGGTGTCTCATGTAGTAGTTAACATTTTAAAAAGCTGTTGCCATTGGGTAATGGTGTGGTGGAAGGTGTGGAATGCAGTCCTGGGATGCTGGCCATCTGCATGGCCATCTGATTTAGGAGCGAAGCATCCTCCTGTATTTGCATCATGGAGGCTATTTTGACTGGACCTCTTCATTTATGAGCAAGGCTGAAACTGCCTAGGACCTGGGGAAGTCCCAGATGGGAGATGCTTTATCAAAGTCTGGCTGTTTTGGTAATAGTGTTTATTCCGTGAAGAGTCATGGTATAAAATACCTTTATGAGTCACTTATAGAAAGAATTTTCATAGAAATCTTTTTTTTTGAAACAGAATCTCACTCTGTTTCCCTGGGTAGAGTGCCGTGGCATCGTAGGTCACAGCACCCTCAAACTCTTGGGCTCAAGTGATCCTCCTGCCTAGCCTACCAAGTAGCTGAGACTACAGGCACCTGCCACAACACCCAGCTAGTTTTTATATTTTTAGTAGAAACAGGGTCTCAATTTTTCTCAGGCTAGTCTTGAACTCTTGAGCTCAAGCAATCCACCTGCCTCTGCCCTCCCAGAGTGGTAGGATTACGGGCGTGAGCCACGGCACCTGGCCTTCCATAGTAATCTTAATTGTTGATTACCCAGTAATACTTAGTAGGTAAAATTGTTATTTCGATAACTCACAAAGGTTGCTGATGAAGATTATGAGTCTCATCATTATGTTTGCTAATCCATTTAGCAAATGTTTTTTGAGTACCTCTTGGTTATCAGGCACCAGAGATATAAAGATCCCTTAAGTTCAAGTTGTTTTAAATAGCCCCAGATCAAAAACAAACACAACATTATTTAGATTGTTTTAAAGAAGTATCTGAGCAGTCATAAAAGTTCGTCAAAGTTTTATCAGAGTTTTGCAGTTGTCTCTCTCGTGGCAGTGGTAGTTTCCTTTGTTATGCTGTGGTCTCTATAGTAGCTGAAATAGTGAGTTTTGCTTTTTGTAAACCATAAAGAGTCAACACTTCAAAGGAACACATTTGATCTTCCTTTATATAAGCTGTTTATAAAACTCTAATTACACTTGAGAAATGAGGTATTGTTCATTGTTTATACAATTATAATTCAGGGTCTTACAAAATAACTCTGGCATGTGAGATGTTCCTTCTAACTTCTGAGTTCATTGCAATTTCATTTCTAAAGTTTATAAGGAGTTTCACTTCATCCTTTTTTTTTTTTTAAAGGTGGGAGTTGTTTTGTTTTTTTTTTTGATGTCATTGGAATTTAATTTTTAGGACCTTTTGATTTTTCAAAGGTCACTGTAGTCATTTTGTTTCGTTGATAGTCAAGTTAAGGCAACCATTGACGGAGCAGTTCTCCATTTCTCTAGTAAGCACGTAGTCCTTGATATTTATAAACTGTAAAATTGTTCGTCTGAGATCAGTGTTTATTGGTAATTACATATGTGATGTGGTTAGGGTTATTTTTTATCTTCTGATATGCTACTCTTAGGAAGGTGCACGTTTGTGTTGTATGTGTGTATATTTGTTTTAATTTTTATCTTTTCCTGCAAGAATTGATATTGTCTAGGTAGTTTAGACCTTTTTCTTTCTAAAGAAATCTCCAGTGTGACTACTTCCATATTTCACCATTTCCTGAGCGCTCTATTCTTCGTTGCCCTTTGTAGTTTCAGGAAGCCATTGTATAGACAATACACACACACACACACACACAAACATCCACACCCACAAAATACTCCTTAGCAAGCTGCTTCTTTAAGGTCATTCATAATTTTCAGAGGTCTCAGTTTTAAAAAGTATTGTTACTTTTTAACCTCCTAAGTTTGTTATAATTGTCTAATAGAAAAATCTGAACTATCTGGATGTTGTAAGAGGCCATGTTCCTTTGATTTTAGGGACTAGTCGAAGGCACATGGCTGCTTGTGGAAGGGTCTTTGTGAGACTCTTTGAAACTCCCAGCTGCCTAGTTATTTTTCATTTTTGATTCTGTCTAAATGTATACTTTCCACTTTCTGTTTCTGTGATACTTATAGAATTTATGGGTTTTGACAAAATTACCCAAAACTTGCTGATGTGAAAGCAAAGGTCACATGACTTCCTTGGCCTCCAGTCCAATTCATGGTTATGTTTCAGTTCATGGTTAATCTTACATTAAACATTTTTCTGAAGAGATAGTTATGTTATTTTAATTCATGGACTCTCAAGATTTAAGTGAATTTTAGGGTCTAGATGTGGTGGGTCACACCTGTAATACCAGCATTTTTCAGTCAAATGCTCTTCCCCTGGGCTATACCCCCCAATACTAGTACTTTGGAAGGCTGAGGTAGAAAGATCACTGGAGGCTCGGAGTTCGAGAAGAAGCCTGGGCAACATACTGAGACCTGGTGTTTAAAAAGAAAAAAGGAAAATGAGCCAGGCATGGTTCTGTGCACCTGTAGTCCCAGCTATTAGGGAGGCTGAGGCAGGAGGATCCTTTGAGCCTAGGTGTTCAAGGTTATAGTGAGCTATGATCATACCACTGCACTTTAGCCTGGGTGACAGAGTGAGACTCTGTCTCTTTTTCTTTTTTTTTTTTTTTTTTTGCAGTTTTTGGCTGGGGCTGGGTTTGAACCCACCACCTCCAGCATATGGGGCTGGTGCCCTACTCCTTTGAGCCACAGGTGCCGCCTGAGACCCTATCTCTTAAAAAAAAAAAATCGGATTTTAAGGGATATATGTCATTCTTGAATCCACTCTGCAATATTTCAGCCATATGACAATTGAATTTGTTGTTTAAATTTCCCACCGATGGGGAACTAGGGACCTCTTAAGGCAGTCTAAACCACTGTAGGACAAGTATATTGTTAGAAAATTCTTACACATGTTGAACTGAAGTCTGACTCTTGGCATCAGTCCACCTTCTGGTCCAGATTTTGCTTATCAAGGTGACCCAGAATAAGTGTAATCCTTTCATAGCACAGTACTTCAGTGTCCCTTAAAAGTCTCCTAGTTTGCCTTTGTTGTTTACTCGTGAAGACTTTGTAGAGATATTTTTACAATTTTTTTAATTGTAAAAATAAATGGCTATCTTATGTTCTAGTAAATAGCAAGTAAAATGTATTTTGTGTTTACATTGCTTCATTCATAGGCAGCTGAAAAAGTTGGATGAAGATAGTTTAACCAAACAACCAGAAGAAGTGTTTGATGTCTTAGAGAAACTTGGAGAAGGGTGAGTATAAAGAGAGTAAAGGTCTTAGTCTTTTTCCTGTGCCAGCACACCAGAAGCACATGAACGTTTTCCATGGCAGTAGTTCTTAAACCTGAGAAGAAAGAGGAATGTTGCATATGAGTTTGTCTCTTGGTGTGGTGGGAAGTAAATTTACAGCTTGCGGTGCCCTTCTTCCCTATATCACTCCAATCCCTAGTTTAGGCAAAGTCAGTGATTGCTGATCTTCTTAACACCAAGGGCATCTGTTGTTTTCTCTTTTGTAGACTCTGTGGTTTGCTTGATTTTATTTGTTTAAATAAGTTAATTAATTGTCATTTATTAAAAGTTTTTAATAAATAAATTTATTTAAAAGTTTAATAAATAAATTTATTAAAAAGTTTTTGAATAAATAAAAAATAAATAAATTTGCTCCTCTTAACTTCTGAGTGATGTGCTGTAACTTTTGTTTTAGTAAAAAACAATGGAAGCCAGCGTTGTAGTTTTTGGAGCTTTGTAAAATTCCATAAATAAATTGAAGACTGTCACCATCTTTACAGCTTCCTAGGTGATCCAGACTCCTAGGCTGGGAACTAGTGGACTTCTTGAAACACAGAATTACGAATGAGTTTATAAAATAGTGATGAAATGGTATTTTAATAATAGGTAGTGCTTCTTAAAGACTTTTATGATTCAGTAAAGTTTATATCACAATTTTTTATATTTTTACGTACGCGTTTAATCTTGTGATTTATTCCTTCTTTAATGACCAGGGCATTGAAGTATTAGGAACATACTTAAGTGCTTGTTGTTAATTTTTGAATAGGTAATAAAATCATATGATTTAAAATTCAAAAAGTGTAAGTATAAAAATGTATGCAATAAAAGTTCTGCCCCCTACCTCTGTCTCTCAGACCCCCAGAAGCAACCAGTGTAGCAATTTTTTGTCTTTTAGAGATAGGTTATACATCTATAAGTAGATTTATGTGCATGCATGTATTTTTAATCTCTTTGGGGTACTTCTGGATCAAGAGAAGACCTGACATATTTTAAGACTTTTAAAAACATTTGCTGTCTAATGACTATATGCTCTTTAAAATCAGCTCTTATGTCATTGGATTATTTTTGGGTTTAGTATTTTTTATGTCTAACTTGATCCATGATAATGTTAAACCCAATCCTGGATTACATGGAATAGTTTTTCATGGTTTACCTGCTTGTAAAAAAAATTAGTTGTCATCTTTTTGTGAGTTGGAAAAATACTCTTTGGAATCCAGCAAGACATCAAGCAGAGAAGGAAAGTAAAAGATGACATCAGCTGTATTGCCAAAAGACAAGTCCAAGATGAATCTGAGGACTGCAGGTTGACTGGGCTCATTAAGGTAAGGATCAATGACAGTCCCTCTTTGTCCCTTGCCAACCATTTTCAGCTTGAGATCCTTGTTGTTTTTCTCAAGGCAGTAAATCCATGGGCCTTAATCGAACAATGGTTTTAGGTTATATTCAGAATAAGTTAAAGACTGGTAGGCATAATTGACTATGTAGCTAGTTTGTTTTTTCACATCTAATAAAAGGTGTTATAGTAGTGGGAGCATAGACTTTGAAGTGAAACAGATCTGGGTTAAAATCCTTGTTCTTAGGCTGGGTACAGTGCTTACACCTCTAATCTCAGCACTTTGGGAGGCTAAAGTGGGAGACTTGCTCAAGGCCAGGAGTTTAAGACCAATCTGAGCAACGTAGTGAAACCTTGTCTCTACAAAAAATTAAAAAAATAAAAAATTATCTAGGCATAATGGTATGTGCTTGTAGTCCCAGCTACTTGGGAGGCTGAAGCGATAGCTTGAGCTCAGGAGTTTGAGGTTGCAGTGAGCTATGATGATGTCACTATACTCCATCCTGGGCAACAGAGTGATACCTTACCTCAAAAAAAATTTTTTTTTCCTTGCTTTTCTGTTAATTGATCACAATAAACAAGTAAGTTTGATCAAATTTCTTAATATTTTGGAGCCTGACAGTTCTCATCTATAAAGTGGGAATAATAATGGCATCCATTTCATAGAATGCAGCAACTGTTACTACATAATAGGTGTAAAGTGCTAACTACAGTGCTTGTAACATAGTAAATGCTCAGTTCATGACAACTATTATTTCTTTTTTAAGTATATCAACTGAAGCATTTTTCAGACCTCAGCATGTTAAACTGAAGTTAAATCTTAGGTCTTAAAGTATATTTAGGCATTCTTACAGGTAGCTGTTTGGATTGATTGGGGTTGGGGATTGTTAAAGAAAATTGTAGACAGAGACTACATCAGGAATATAATGTAAGGGAAAACTAAGCTAATTATGACTTTTTAAATTACGTTTTAGCTCTATGGATGTCTTCAGCAAGCAAGATGGAAATTTCTCTATGAAGCTATCTCCAGGGAGAAAACAAACAAAGCTTCAGGTCTTTCTTCCCATGCTATCACCATATTGCTCTTTTAAATGATGCCACAGATGCTTGGATTTCTGACTGAAGGACACTGAACAAACTTCATTTAACTTGGAAAATCCTGATAGAAAATATTAACGCCACTTCCTTTCCAAACATTCTGCTGTGCCATCCTTACATTGTTCTGGAGAATGAAAGGATTGTGAACTCTCGCTGACTTGTGTCTTGTGAAATGGCTCTGGCTAAAAACTGTATTTGATTCAGGAGGCTGCAGTCATTCTGTGTTTCAAGGAAATCGTGTGGATCTATGGCAAAATAGAGCCAAAACTTCAGACCAAGATGCGTGAAGAGAAGTTGGAAAGTGTTTTGAATTGGAGCCTAGCACCTTTTTCTATCATACTTAAAAGTTTTACACATTGACTCATTTAGGTTTTTATCGAAGAGTGATAACAAAAGCATTCTTCCAATGGTTTCACAACTAGTGAGTGCCCTTTTTAAGACTTGTACCTGGTTAGTTTGGCCTCAGATACTGTATTATTTCCATTTTTCTATGTTGATCCTTGCCTGGTATGGCTTATATTAAATACTTATTTTTTCCATCCTCTTTGCTCTCTGCCAATTGTAATTCATTGAGTCCTTGTTGTAAGGAGGTTTTAAGAAACTTGCCTTTGAGTGAATGATTGCTGAAGTCTTCTAAGTCTTCTTCAGATTACTGTAAAGGCAGTATGTGGAATCATGACTTTTAATTGTTCACATGAGGTATCAGGAGAGCATAGAGAGGTATAGCGAGTGTTCTCGTCAAGACCGCTGAGTGAGTACATGCAGAGACCATCCCTTTTCTAATATAGAAAAATTATGAATGAAAATAAGTTCTTTTAAATGTAAGAATATATAGCTTTATATATATATATGTATAGGGATATAGATAAGGGATAGAAAAGAAAATCTAATAAGAGGAAGGTAAAGCTTACTCTATCCTTGTCAGGAAAGCATTTGGGTTTACTATACAGAATTGTAAACCCAACTGACTATCACTAAAGAGTTTCATTTGCTAGTGGTTGTGAAAAAGTGGAGGTACTGGTCTGATTATAGAAACTGAGACTGGACTGTGTGCAACTACGGTATCTTGAAGGGCAAAGACCCAGGCTCCTAGTATAAGACCTGGTCAAAGTGTGTCCATATGATAGGGCTGAGGGAACCATGAAACCATCCAACATTGATCATTGTGTAGAGGAAAGTCATTCAAGATAAAATGAAATCTGTGCAAGGAAATTCACTGTCATGGGGTCATCTGCAAAATGAGAGAATTCGCACTCAAGGACATAGAAATAATGGAGCAATCTGAAAAGAGATTGCCTATGTTTATGATTTTCACAAGGAAAAAGGAGAGAATAAAATTCTTAAAAGCACCAGATTATTAACATGAACAGTTAACCCAATTGAAAATAAAAAGTTGGGAGTCTTGACAATGAAGATTACAATAATCCAAGTTTTAAGAGCCCATTAAATTGGATAAACAACATACTATAAGCTGAAAAGAGGATTTATAATTTGAAAGACAGAAATGAGACTGATCACAAAATGCAGAACAGAGACCAGGCACAGCGTTGGCAACCAGGAAGACAACATGGATGGAGGAGGTCCAATGTAGGTCTAGTAGGAATTCTAGAAGATGATATTAAAAGAAACCAAGAGAAGAAATCAGATGATGCTGAGAATTCTGCATACTTGAAGAACTACTTGAGCCCTCAGATTGAAGAAGTCTATGAAGTGCCAAGTAAATCAGCTCCAAGTTACATTATAGAATGTTAAAGAGGAAATCTTAAATGCTATGGTGAGGTTAACCTCTAAAAGATGATAATCTGATAAAAGCAGACTTCTCCGCAACAGTAGAAATCAGAAAACTGCAGTGAAAGTGCTGAGGGAAAGTTGTCAGAGAATTCTATATCCAGCAAAACTGTGAGTGAAGGTGAAATAAAGACATTTTCATCACACATGGGACCTGATGTATCCAGAATGTCTTTAGATGAAAGTAATAATACCCAACTAATAGTGGTTAACCAATTAAGGAAAGGCATTTAATAATGAATTAAATCTAGGGAGGAGAGATTATAGGAATGGTTAATTGACTTGGTAGTATGGTTTGGCATCTGAGTATTTCTCAGTCTCAAAATGGCTACATTAGTTTCCGGCATCAACCCTCACATTATAGTAACCAAAGCAGGGAGGGAAGTTGTAGGTGATAGTGGGCCTTCTTATGTGCCTGTCTCTTACCAGGGAAGAAAAGCTTTCCCAGAAATCCTTCAGCAGAATTTCCCTCAAATTTCATTGACCAGAACTGGGTCATATGCTTGTTACTAGCCCCATTGGTGGTAGAAAGGAAAAAACTCTGTGACTGGTTTGGGCTTACATGCTACATCCTCTGGGAGCAAACACGTCACCACCTAACAAATCAAAGGGTTATTTTAGCAAGGAAGAAGAGGCAGTGTTTGGGTCATCCACACAGAGTCAACAGTCACCTCTTTCTGGCAAAAACATTTGATGCCCTATTTAAAGATCCTACTGGTTTTACACACATAAAAGTTTCTGATAGGGTAGAAACTTTTTATGTATTCTGTTAGACTAAGAAAAGGTTTTATGTTACTTTAAAACAATTCTTGAGCATATATTGGCAGCTGGGGTGTTCTTTGTTGACATATTAGGTGGCACTGTTATTTTGATTTTTTTTTTTCCACCACAGCAGTATGAAGATACAGGTGTGTTTTGCAAATATGAAAGGCGGTTTACTTAGTATTATTTTACTGGCAGCCATCTAGGATTTTATTGATAAAAAATTATCTATACAAGGTAAGGATACCATCTCCTGTGACCCTCACAACCATTTTGTAAGGTAGTTTGTATTATTGTCATTTTACAGTAGAGAAGACTGAGGCACAAGGTTAAGAACATGTCTGTGAATCCTAGGTCTTCCCCTAAATCGAATAAATAAACTTCATTTCATATTAAGCTCTTAAGAGAAGATGAAGTAGAAGGTAAAAAGAATTTGTGTGTGCTGTGTTCACCTGATCATAGCATTAGAGGTTTAGATTTTAATTCGTTTTCATAACATTTTAAGCATTATTTCAAGTAAGAGGAACAAGGACAGAAAGATCTTGTGGTACTAGAGTGGATGCAAGAAAACAAATATCTTTACTTCCTTATTATACCACGGTATAGATGTGGAGAGAACACAAGCTCTGTTTTCAGGAAAACATCTAGATTCAGTCCTAAACTGACTGTGACGTATGTGACCTTGGGCAAATTATTTTAACCTTTCTAAACCTCTTTGTATTTACTTGTAAAATAGGAGTAATTGCCTCTTCCTCATTTTTTTATGAGGGTGAATTGAGGTAGTGCCTTGTTTCTAGTAGATGCAGCCATGTAATGCATGGTAGCAACTGTGTTACTATGTCATATTAGTACCTTCATTTAAGTTTAAATGTGAAGCTTTTAAGATGCCATTCTGTGGTCATTCTCTTGACAGTTTTTTTTTTCCCCTCCCAAAGAATTTAGTTTTACAAATGTAGTTGAGAATGTATTATTATATACTTACAATTAATATTATACTACCTAATATATCATTAGGAACCTAGGGATATACATTCAAACTGTCAAGTTGCTGGTGTTTTATCCCTTCTTATCTCTTAGCTTGACTTGGTCTCCTTCCTCCAATTACAGATCCTACGGCAGTGTATACAAAGCTATTCATAAAGAGACGGGTCAGATTGTTGCTATTAAGCAAGTTCCTGTGGAATCAGACCTGCAGGAGATAATCAAAGAAATCTCTATAATGCAACAATGTGACAGGTAAAGGTCATGTGGGTTTCCTTTGCAGGCAACATGGTTTTGAATTTGCTGTGATTATTTAGAGTTTAAGACCTAAAAATGTATTTACTTAGATATTTTGCAGAAGGAAGAGTTTAATGGAATCACTACTCATGTTCTGTTCAGAAAAAAAATATGAAAAAGTTTGCATGTTTTTGCAGCTAAGCTCCTATAGTTTCTATTTCTGCATATATTTTTTTCTTTTTCTTTTTTTTCAGTAAGCCCTTTTAGAAACTAGGAAGAATGGCTCGGCGCCTATAGCTCAACCGGC